CTAGTCCGTGATTCCCACTTAGCGGTAATTTGTCGAACAGCAATCGAGGCCAGTAATTTTGTCACCACTGACGTTCGGCTAATGCCCCTGTGGTTAGCAGTTGGTGCGACTGCTCTTCTTATATATTACCACTATGGTCGATTCATCCCAGTTAGCTGGGATAGTCGCTTCCTTCCAGACTTGTTCGAACAGGGAGGTCAGTGCTTTGCCTCGGACCTCACCAACAACCTCAAATAGTGGGGGGGGGGGGATCCGTCAGCAGCACAAAAAACGATTTGGGGCTGCGATCGCGTTTCGAACCTCAGCCTTCGATGGTGCCTCTAAACCAACCGGCCATGACTCAGCGTGCAACATTTGAGTAGGAATAGGTAGAGAAGCAGGGAGACAACTGGACTGATCCCGAAAGTGCTCCGTCCAACGAGCTACACGGCGCTCCTTATTGGGAATCAGAGCACCCGTGCTGTCCCTGATTGTATCAACGATGTCTGGTTTTTGGGACCAGTGGTGCGGATCAGTTGGATGAGCATGCAGTAATTACCAACTACTCCTGCTTCCCCAGTTTCGGTAGCCCTACTAGTCCACTAGGCTTCTTTGTCATTACATTACATTGCGCTCAGGACCAGCCAGGAGTTTGCTTCAGGATTCTAACACGTTCACCGACCTCTCTCATATGCGGTGGTGACCGATAGTGCCGCAACCAGCTCTTGTATGGTTCATGGCGGCCGAGGTCCTATTACAATAAGGCTGTCAGTAGGATAAGAGAGCGAAAGTTCGGAAAGTAGGGCATGCTGGCTGGCTTGCCTGATCGATGTATAGCTTCCCAGTTGCCAATCGAGGGAGACGCTTGTTACATCTCTTGGCAAAGTTCATAGAAAAATGACAATGTATGAAGACACGATCAATATATATATATATATATATATATATATATATATATATATATATATATATATATATATATATATATATATATATATATATATAAAATCACGGTCTGTGGTACAGCTGTCGTGTCATCGGAATCATGGCGGAATAGGAAAACCGGGTCGGAATAAGAAAAGAAAATAACGAGTAACCTTTTTGTCAGCTGGCTTCATAAAATGAGGGAATGGGCATCACCACAATGCTCGATTACGGTTCACCCCCTAATGTCCAATCACTCGAGACCAGGTGCGAAAACGGGATTGTGTTCAGGATGCGGCTACCACGCTCGTCCCCATATACTGGGGTATGTCGTATTATGACCGATGCAGCAGACTGTGATTGTGCACCTTGTTGTATCGTCAGTTTCGAGTGGACCTCACAATAACGCACAGGATTTTACCTTTGCGTGACTTCTTAATGTTGGGGCCACTGCTGCTTGCGCACCTAAGCATCAGACAACACTTGCGGGCACCGGTACAAACTTGTGCTACCGGACCTAACGCGGATAGCTCACACTCTTTGCTTTGAGCAGCGAGTGGTACCAATTGGAACAGTTTGCCCCTTGAAAAAAGTCAATGCTGAAATCTGTCTCGGGATTCACACAATTCCCAGGCACCATAAATTACAGGTAGCGTGATCTCATCTTGGATTGTGTCTCGCTCTCGAATACGTGCATCTACTCTGTTCATGCCTTGGTATGCTGTCGCTTTTCCACGAACTTCATCGGGAAGAGTACCAAGGGTCTCTCCCGATTGGCAACTGAGAACTTATCCCCTTTTTCAGTCTGGCAAGTCTACCATGATGCCCTGAGTACCGAAATTCCGCTCCCTCGTCCTAATAACACTGGACTTTACTGGAACAGAATCATAGCCGTCATGCACCACGCGAGGGGCTCTGCTTCCGACACTGTCATTCATCACCGCTTTAGTTGTTGGATATCCGATAGGTTGCCAAGCCCCTTGGAATTCAAATGTACACTCCCTGCTAGCTCTGAGAACAATGTAATCAGATGGACTATTAGGCGAACTAAAACTCTCCTGTATGTTGACAACGAAGCCTAGTGGAACAAAAGGGCTGCAGAAATAGTGATGGCAGGAGCAATATGCACTTACCGCAACCTCTTCTAACTGATCCGCACACTGGTACCAAGAAACCAGGCGTTAGTGAGACGACCAGAAACAGCGCAGGTGCCTTGATTCACAATAATAACGAGCCGTACGCTCGTTGGGGGAGCACTTTCGAGAGCAGTTCCGTTGGTCCCCACTTCCGGATCTCTTCCTACTCAGGTGATGCAGGATGACACATGGACGGTTTGTTGTGTCTCCTTCGGACGCTGACGTCCGAAGCGCGATCACATCCATTAACCGTTTTTCCGTTGAAGACCTGGATTCCCTCGTACCCGCGCTATATAAGGACGGTGATGCGATCCACTGCGAAGCAATGACTTACCTGTTCGAACAGGTCTGGAAGGAAGAGACCATCTCAGCTAACTGGACTGAATCGATCAGTGGCCTAACACAAGAAGAGCGGTCGCACTGAATATGCTAGCCATATGGGTATTAGCCTAACGCCGGTTGTGACAAAATACTGGCCTCAATTCTCGTTCGTTACCTCACTGTGGAACGGGAATCCCGGGTTAGGGAAGAGCAAGCAGGTTTCCCCTTAGGACGGGGCTGTATGTATCATATATTCACTCTGAAGCAGGTGTTGTAGCGGCGTCACACGTACTACAGACCGACATTAGCTGTGTTCCTCGACTGCAATATTGCGTTTTACTCAGTCGATCGATCCATCCTTCCGTAATACTTGCGCGGAGAGGTGTTCCCATGAAGTATGTGAACATTTTACTTACCCCGTATTCGAGCACAACAGGTCGCATCAGTGTCTACCTTGATTTGTCGGACATCTTTCCGACAACAAGTATCGTTCGTCAGGGTCGTCCAATTTCCTATTTTCGTACAACTTGATCGTAGAATGCTCCCTTGTGGAATCTCACCATGCAGGCGTTGAAGCGCTATCTAGTGGAAAAATTGTTACACTTAATTATGTGGATGGTCCAATAAGCTCTGGATAGCCTCTCTAAAATGTACCCATCATTCGGCATGAGCTTCCGACCTTCAAAGTGCAATGTTTTTTGAAAGGTCACCCGCTACTTGATGGTCCCTTTATCCTTGATAGCGAAGAACTCAAGGTAGTTGATCAGTTCATGAACGATGGGCACATAGACGCCGAAGTTAGTTCACGTATTGCCAAAGACAGAATTGCCTTCTTAAAGAGCGTTTGTCTCGGTCTGAAAAGCCGGTTTTACAATGCCACAGTGAGAACCGTCCTATTCTATTTTAGGGAGATTCAACCTCTTCGGTCTGAGGATCTGAAGCTCCTTCAACTCTTTGATCATCGCTACCTGCGGAACATTTCTAGTGTCGGGTAGCACCAGCGTCTCCGCAACGATGATGTGCGTAGACGAGTATTAGGCAGTGAACATCAGGTCAGCTTCAGAAAACAACAGATAGTACGGAATACGTTGTGTTGCCTTGGGCGCGTACTACGTAGCCCGGTCACCGCTTACCGAAGAGGGCCTTGTTTTGTTCGGCAGATGTAGGGTGGCGCAGAGCTCGAGGTTGGCAAAAGTTGACTTAATAGGAAGAAATGAAGTCACTGAGGACCAAACTGTGTGCCATCGGTCCGTCTCGCCTTCCAAGCTGGAGTCCACGTGACTCGCCTTGTGCTTGGCTCGAGACGTTACAGGACATGACTAACAGTCGGAAACCTTGGCGTGCCTGTTGTTGTCTCCTAGTTAGGCTGTCTTCGAAGTGAGTTATCTGTGGCGCAATTACATTGATTATGATGCGGTGCAGTAAAATCCACGATGAATTTGTCTCGTTGATGCCACCTTATCTTTGCACGATGACCAGCTGTTTGTGGCAGTATATTTTTGACAAGGTGTAGGCGCCTAACCCTGAATGTTTGATTAGGGCATCAGGCTTTCACAGTAGGTCTCCCTTCTCTCTCTCTTATTATTTTTTTGTTTCGCAGGGCATTGTTGTTGTATGATAGCGAAACACCAGTTCAAATGGCTGATGTACTGCTGCTGTTGCGGATGAAGTTCTTCATTAATTTGACATGAACGTTTGTTAAGCTGACCCGTCTATAGTTATCTCAACCTGCTTGAATGCGGGGAAATCGATCGCCTCCTTTTACTCAGAATGAGAAGAGCAACTGAGAAATGACTTCTCGAACGATGCCATAATCGGTTCACACAGCTCAATTGTTACTTCGTAAAGCATCTTGAGGTTAACAGCATCCACCGCAACCACTTTGCTCTCTGAAATAGGGCTATATGACAGCAGCAAATCTGCCTTATATGTCATCGCTTAATGAATATGCGGTAGCAGAGATTACCGAACCAATGCTCCCGCATGCTGATCCGCTAGCAGGCATGCTTTCGCGTAACCAATATAGGTTTCACTGGCGTCAGAGCCAGACAACACTAGTAGAAGTGAGCTCAAATCGCTTCGCCTCTTAAAATAAGCGAACCGTCGCTTTGGGTTGACAGAAACCTGGCCAACTCCATCTCATATCTTAGTTAGACTGCACGCAGGTGTTGTCTGCAGACATTTTGTGAGTGTCTATAGCGCCGTAACGTGCCATCTGAGAGAGTTGAGCTAATTTGCCAGCACTTTACCGCCTTTCCACCAACAAACTATCTGTCTGGCTTTTCAGACCTTTGGTTTTTTACAGCCTACTTGACACAGCAGACCTCCGAAATTCTCTACCGGACGCATACGATAGCAAGTCGGGAAGTGTGGTTGCAACAAGTTCATGTCCGAGAGCCCGTTGTGGCTCGTCCAGAAGTCTATCGTTGTTTTCTCTTCCCTTTCCTATTTTGTTTACGCTGTTGTTACAACAACCCTTTCCCGTGTATTTTCACGCCATCCAATCAGCTCAGGCTGGGCAGCTATGGCAACGGCATCCAGCTCCTCACGAAGTATTAGTAAGACGCATCCTCCATCCCGTTCCATCTCTTACGCGGTGATTGTGATGTGCCTATTCAACTGTCCATGAGGTCTTTGTTTTGCATTTCAGCCCACCAGGTCTATTACGACGTTCCCGCCCGTCTATCACGGAAGTACTCGGATTCCTCAAGCCGACGCATACTACAATTCCTTTAATTCCATCAATCCATGAATATTTTCCACTGTCTCCTCGAGACCTTGGGCGTTTGTAATGTCACTGTGTTTTCGCTTATCTGTGCCACTTTAATTTTGATCGTTGCTATCCTGCAATTTATTTTCTCACGGAATTCTGCGTTGCGTTCAAGTTCAGTCCTGCACGACTCCCACCAACGACACAAAACAGAAGGTCCAGTAAGTGAAGTCAGTCGCCCCCACGCATCTAAACTATCGTGACTAATCGTTCACGCTAGTTTTTATCTTAAACGTTTGGGGCTGCTTTAAACGTTTTTGGTTTACCGTGATATCAGATCTGGCAACAATACGAAACAATGCTGGTAGGATGTAATAAAATGCATTTGAATGTTTAAATTACAGTCCGTCACGGTCTAGAGAAGTACCAGTCATGAAAATGTGTAATCCATGCACTTTTGCAAGTTTTATGCTGTGCACCCATTTCCTATTTTGTATTCTAGTGTACAAAGTGATCGTTGGTACCAGTCCTCCCTCACACACGGCGAAAGCCGTTGCTGCTTCCAACGTTCACTCAGCTTGACTGATTACACTGATGTGCAGCTTTTCGAAGCGTTGTTCTCTTGAAAGCACATCAAATACTGCTGCCACATTTAGTTGTGTATTTGTCTTTGAGGTGTCTCTGTTGAGTATGTCGTGGGTATCCTCGCGAGCACATTTGGCGCGGTCGTTTGCTTATCCTGATCCAATGAGCTACACATGTTCGAACTTCTGACGTGTCGTTGAACCCACCTATCTTAAACAATTCACTAGTGATACACTACGTAGGCTGTATCGACGTCCTATGGACAGTGCTATGCGGCAAGATCGGTTCCCTTCTACTTCAAACCCTCAACCATGAGGTGCAACAGAAGACATGAGCCTTTGGCAAATTGCGATAGGGCGCCCGACAAACAGTGTATAAAGCAAAAGATGGCGTCAAAATAAATTATTCATGAAAGAACGACGTAGCAGAAGTGCCTCTGGTTTGATTGCGAATAGCTGAGAAAATATACAAACGTTTATTATGCAGTCGGTGCGCTTTGTTTGCAAATCGTCAATTTTACTCAACAAAACTACATTGGAACGAGGTGCTGTTGTGAAACGAAGAATAATAAGAGGGAGACAAGGGGGACTCATCTGAAAACCTTAATGCCATAAGCAAACATTCTGGGTCAAGACGCCTACACCTTGTGTAGACAACATACTGTCATAAACAGCTGACAATCGTACAGATATAAGGCGGCATCCGCGAGATAGCTTCTTTGCGGCTTTCACTGCCCCGCGTCATAATCAGCCATTTCCCCGCAGATAACTCAGCACCAAACACATGTTAAACTGGCAGTCCGACTACGAAACGACAGCAGACGCACCACTGGTGTCGGTTGCGATCCATGTCCTGTAAAGTCTTGAGCCAAGCACAAAGCGCGTCACATGGACTCCAGCCCAGAAGGCGAGACGGACCAAGGGCACTTAGTTTGGTCCTCAGTAACTTCAGTTCCCTGTGCTCAGTCAACTTTTATCCACCTCGAGCTTTGCGCCACCATATATCTGACAGAATAAACAAAGCTGTCCTCCGTAAGCGGTGACCAGGCATATCTAGTATGTGCCCAAGCTAACGCAAGTTATTCTGTGCTATCTGTTGTTCAAACGAACTAGCTTCGGTATCACTGCCTAACACTCGCCAATATATATTCTCGTTACGGACACGCTGGTGCCATCCGACACCAGCAATGCTCCGCAGACAGCGATGATCAAAGACTTGTAGGCACTTTAGAGCAGCAGACCGAAGGGGCCAAGTCTCACTCCAATAGAGCAGGATGGCTCTCAGTGTGGATTTGTATACACGGCCTTTTAGACAGATGGAAACTCCCATCTGTCATCAAAGATGTCGCAGGTTCAAGAATAAATATATAACTAAAATGAAATGTGTATTCTCGAGTACGCGAGGCACGCCTACACAGACATGATCATGATAAGGGTACAAAAATGTGCCCAGTTAATGTACAGTGGAACAATAGGGTTGTCGCTTATGTTGAAATATGAATGTATGTATGTGGGGTGGCCACAGTGACAGGCAAATCGGAAGCCGGGTGCTGCCAACCATGTAGGAGTGTGTAGCCGTGTTTGTGGGATTTGCAACTGCTTTGCTGCACTTTTGATCGTGTCGCCAGTGCTAAATTGATGCTTGATGTTTGTGGACTTGAAACAGTTGTCCGGATAAGCAAGGAAGTGACTTTAGTTGATGGCGAGTCACAACTGCAACGTCACAGTGTTGTTAAACAGACATTTGTGGCTTTTTATAGGGAGACCGCTTGCCATGCGAATACCTACCACGTCCTGGCACACTGCCGCCGCACTATTTGCTGGAACGGTTTTGACTTTTGCAATGCATGAGATGACGTCAGTAGCTATGCGCCCATCGTTGATGATGCAGCGGGCAACGTAAGTGAATTGATCAACCACCTCGAGTTCTCGTTATCGAGGGATCATCAAGTGGCTGGTGTTCCTGCAGCAACACTTTGCAGGTGCGAAGCGCATGCCAATTAATGGGACCACTCTGGAGAGGCTATTCAGGGTTTATTGGGCCGCCGCAACATCATCAAAAAGCGAGACGATATCGTCCGCATAATCTGGATCAACTATTCTTTCACCAGGCAGGACCTCAACGCATGCATCGGGTGATTCTGCAAGGGAACGCTCAATGGTAGAGTCCACGACGAAGTTCAACGGAAATGGGACAAATTGCACAACCCTGACGAACACCGCTTGTTATCGGGAAGCTATCTGACAGGTCACCGTAGACCCTGACGCGGCCTGTAGTGTACCACTAGAGCAACTAGGATGTTCGCATTTTTCGTGGGAACACCACTCTGCGCAAGTATTTCGAACAGAATGTATCGGTCGACTGAATCGGAAGTCAAGGAACACATCTGTTATCGGTCTGCGGTATGTGTGGTGCTGTTCTAACACCTGCCGCAGGCTGAGTATGTGATCTATAAATCCACGTCCTGGGCGGAAACCTGCTTGCTCTTCTCTAATCCAACATTCCCGTTCGGCTCTGAGGCGAGAATTGAGGCCAGTAATTTTCTCACTATTGCGTTAGGTTAATTCCCCTTTGGTTAGCACGGTCGGTGCGGCGGCCCTTCTCATATTTTATCACTATAATCGATTCATTTCAGTTAGCCAGGATGGTTTCCGCCTTCAATACATGTTCGAGTGGTGAGGTCAGTGCTTTGCAGAAGACCTCACCTCCATGTTTAAATGGTACAGGTTGCAGGGGATCCGTGCCAGCAGTACAAAATTGATTGAGGGTTGTGATCGCGTTTCGGACCTCGGCCTCCGACGGAGGCTCTAAACTACCCGTACATGGGTCACCCTGCACCACCTGAGTAGCAAGAGACCCGGACACAAGGGGCCAATTAAACTGATCTTAAAAGTGCTCCGCCTAACGAACCATCGGTGCTCCCTATTATGGATCAAAGCACCCGCGTATCCTCTGATTGTCCCACTGACGCCTGGTTCCCTGGGACCATTGGTTCGGATCAGTTGGAAGCGTTTACGATAGTTCCCTACTGCTCGCGCCTCCTCCATTTCTTGAGACCTACTGGTCCCCGAGGCTTCCTTGTCATCGCGCAGTGTCTGCTTTAGTTCGAGTCTACTAGTCCGTCTGGTCACATTGTGTTTAGAGATAGCCGGGAGGCTTCTTCTGGATTCCAACAGGTTCACCGATCTCTCGGATATCTAGTGACTGGTGCGGTGACGATTGATAAGACCACAAACAAATGCTCCTACATCGTGCATGGCGATCGACATCCTATTCCACTGAAGGTTACTGTCATTAGGACAGCGGAGCAAAGTTCGGTACATAGTGTAGCTTGATACGCTTGCCTGACCGAAGGCTGAGGCAATTTCTCAGTTGCCAACCGGAGGAGACGCTTGATGCGCCTCCCGGTAAATTTCATGGAGAAACGACAGCGTACCAAGGCATAATCAGAGTCGACGCACGTACTCCAGTACGAGCAGCAATCCAGGATGGAACCACACCACCTGTAACGTGACTATGTGCTCAATTTGGGTCCCTCGCTGGCCAGCTACACTCAATCAAGTGATAGAAAACTTCGTTAACTGTTGTCATGTCACCGGCTGATTCTTTATTACCGTTTCGTATATAAAAATGATTTGGGTTCATCTCGGTTGGACAGCTACGATTCAGTTCAGTACAGTTAACCAACTGTGCTTCGGGCGCCTCAGTGCAATGGATAAAATTCCAACGAATCACTGTATCGGCATAATAACGGTGACGGGGCGAAATGAGGTGGAAGACAAAAAGAGTACAATGAAAACAGTTAAATGTAAGTACAGTTAGTTGGGTTGGGCTATTAACGGCTTGGCGCAGGGTCGCGACTAGCGGTGCCATGTCTGATAGAGTCTCCGACTACTAATGTGGACCATCCCTAGTTATCTATCCACTGAGGCCACATTCACATGCCTGATCACGACTCTTGGGCAATTGCTTAACGGTTTCGGTGTAGCTCTTCCCATGCCTGCATTTCATGAACGATGGTTTCGTCCTGGTTTGGACTCATCACGTGGAGATAGCCGAGCTTTTGAGTGAAACTCGGTGCATAATGCCTGGCATCTATGGCCATGATCACTATACCATTGAGGTCCTTGAACAGTGCTTGGCGCAGCGGCTGGAAGTTGATTAATGGCTTCATACCATGTCATAGACTGGCCATCTCACATTTTCACTCAATTTGCTGCAGCGACAACATATAATATACACCGAGCATGGCGGTCGGCCGGTATCTGGAGGATATGACTTAAAACTAGTGGTTTTATGCTTCAACAAACACTGCAGTGAGTCACCAGATGGTTTCTTACCTCACAATAATTGTCTGGCCTTAACATTACTCACCCGATATTCTGACTGGGTGTAATTACTGCGTGCACCGGTGGTCAAACACGGACAAGCGTTTAATGTTTTCTCCGCGGACTGGCCAGGTACCAGATCCATACAGTAACACCGGCCTTATTGCAGCGTTATACACCTCACCTCTGGCTGACATGCCACGGCCTCCGTGGATGGTTGAGTCTCAGAAAAGCCCCACGGGCTTTCATCATGCCCGTAGTAACCTCCACAGTGATGTGTTTGCGAGAGGTGACACAACTATATCAGT